CCACCCCAGGGAAGGGGCTGGATTGTCCTTAAGGATTTTTGGGGTGCAGGAGGTTATTCCCCACCCGAAGGAAGGAACTGGGACACCCCAGGATGGTGGAGCATCCCCCAAGAGGGGGGACATCCCTTGTTGTGGGGTGGGTGGTGAGGGCACCCCAAGTTGGGGGTTTCCCCCTTTCTGGTGTTTGGGGGGGTTGTGGTGGTTTGGGTGCCACCCCTGGGGGAGTGGAGACTCCCCCACCCTCAGTTTTTGGAGTCATTGGCAGGGGGAGGGGTGAGTCCTGTAGCCCCAGGTCTGGGGAAAGAGGGAGGGATTGGAACCTCTCTGAGGTTTGGGGTGATCCTCCAGCCCCAGGATGATCCCAGAGTTTTCTCCCTCTGTTAGGACTGGATAATTTTGGGCAGGAGTTTTCTTTCTGTTCCTTCACAAGGTCAGTAGTTACAGGAAGGACAGTGGTGTCCCAGGGGCTTCGTGTCCAGGTATCCCAGGGGTTTCCCATGCACAGGTGTCCCTGTGATCCCTGTGCCCAAGTGTCCCAGTGTCTCCTTCCACAGGTGTCCCGGTGTCCCCATGTCCAGGTGTCCCTGTGTCTCCTCCACAGGTGTCCCTGTGTCCCCATGTCCAGGTGTCCCCATGTCCAGGTGTCCCTGTGTCTCCTTCCACAGTTATCCCAGGCCTGACCTCCTCAGGAGACCATTCCTAAGCCCGTATCCATGTTTTTCCCTCTAACCCACATTCCCCTGTGTCCCATCCAGCACCTTTGTCCTGACCCTCACCTTCCCAAGCCTTATTCCTGCAGTTCCACCTGGGAATGTAGCACAGATATTTGGCTGGTTTTTCCCCACTTTTCTGCTTTTTAGATGAGGTCTGGCATCTCCCAGGAAGCTGAGGGACACGGAGCAGTAGATGGATCTCATCTCTCCCTCACTTCCCAAACCTTAGAGGAACCAGAGGTTGTGTAATGTTGTTGTTTTTTGGGGGGTTTGGCCTTTCCCCAAAGGCTCTGAGGTGTCTGCTCCTGGTTTTTCCCCCTCCCTCAGCTCCTCTGGGTTGGCTGGGCTGAGCATTCCTTGGTTAAAGAGTGGCAGAAGGACATTCCCTGCTGTGCCATTGCCTGGGAGGTCATTCCCCCTGTGCCACTGACCTCCCAGAGGTGGCAGGATCCTTGCACTGCACTCTGAATATCCAAGGATACAACTCCAGGCTTTTTCCTTGGGATCCAAGAGCTGAATGTGGATGTATCCAGCAGGATTGTTCCATTGGGATGGTGGTAGTGTCTCCATCCTGATCCAGATGGGTCGTGGCTAAGCTTTGCTGGGGCTGGAGCTGCTCCAGTGGTGCTGGGAACAGGGAATGTGGTAACCAGGGAATGTGGTGGCCTGAGGATAGGGAATGTGAGGACAGGGAATTTGGTGACCAGGGAATGTGGTGGCCTGGGGATAGGGAATGTGGGGATAGGGAATATGGTGGCCTGAGGATAGGGAATGTAGAGGCAGGGAATTTGGTGACTGGGGAATGTGGTGGCCTTGGGGATAGGGAATGTGTGGACAGGGAATTTGGTGCCCTGGGGACAGGGAATGTTGCCATGGGACATGGAATGTGGGGACAGGAGCCAGGGACACTCAGATCTCCTCCAGGTGTACCTGGAGCAGCTTTGGGAATCTGTGGATATCTTGCTTGACATCCCTCAGCTCCTCCCTGGATTATTCCTCCTCCTTTCCTCCCTCACTGTTGGTTTTTTTCCTGCTTCCAGGCAGATTTTTTGAAGGGATTACCAGTGTACAACAAAAGCAACTTCAGCAGATTCCATGCGGATTCCGTGTGCAAAGCATCGGTAAGAATTCCCACATCCCAGGGCTGGGAAAGGAGGAGTTCAATCCTCAGAGAAGCACACTGAGATGAGGATTTGGAGCTTAAAAAAAATGGTTTATCCCAGCTGATAGTTAGGATTGGCGAGGAAAATGTGTTATTCCTGATAACCATGAGTTGGGATTGGTAAGAAAAATTTCCTGTGGAATGTGCCTTGCAGCAGGTAAATCCCAGCTGTGCTGCTTTGGAGAGAAATCCTACAATTTGAGGGTTGTGTCCCAAAAAAATGGGATTTGATGGGATAAGGGAATTGTCACATCATTCCTAGTCCACATCTGTTATATATATGAGGAATATACGTGGAATCTCTTCCTCCTGGGGTTTCTGGGATACTGCTGCCCCAGTGTCCTGGAGCAGGGTGGGAATTCCAGGATTTCCAGGGGGTGGGAATGTCCTTCCAGCACTGAGTGTCCTGTTGTCCCACAGAACAGACGTCCCTCGGTGTACCTGCCAACCAGAGAGTTCCCCTCGGAGCAGAGTGAGTGCCATGGGGCCTGGGATTGATCTGGGGGATTTTTGGGCTGGTTCTGAGCTGATTTTTTTGGGCTGGTTTTCAGCTGATTTTTTTTGGGCTGGTGTTCAGCTGATTTTTTTGGGGGCTGGTTCTGAGCTGGTGTTTTTTTGGGCTGGTTCTGAGCTGATTTTTTTGGGGCTGATTCTCAGCTGATTTTTTTGGGCTGGTTTTCAGCTGATTTTTTTGGGGGGCTGGTTCTGAGCTGATTTTTTGGGGGCTGGTTCTGAGCTGATTTTTTTTGGGCTGGTTCTCAGCTGATTTTTGGGCTGATTATCAGCTGATTTTTTTTGGGCTGGTTTTCAGCTGATTATTTTTGGGCTGGTTTTCAGTTGATTTTTTTTGGGCTCATTCTCAGCTGATTTTTTTGGGCTCATTCTCAGCTGATTTTTTTGGGCTCATTCTCAGCTGATTTTTTTGGGGGCTGGTTCTCAGCTGTTTTTTTGGGGGCTCATTCTCAGCTGATTTTTTTGGGCTGATTCTCAGCTGATTTTTTTTGGGCTGGTTCTCAGCTGATTGTTTTTAACTGGGGTTCAGCTCATTTTAAGCTGAATTTTAAGTGGTTTTTAGCTGCTTTCCACTAATTTTGATGCTTTTTTTAGCTGAATCTTTAGCTGAACTTTTACCTTATTTTTAGCTGAATTTTAGCTGATCTTTAACTGATATTTTAGCTGATTCTTACCTGACTCTCTTTGTCTAATTTGAAACTGAATTTTTAGGGGAGTTGGGAAGATTTTTAGCTGATTTTTTTTGCCAAATTTTTCACTCCTTTTGCTTTTTTTTTTCCCCACAGTCATCGTCACAGAAAAGACAAATATCCTCTTGCGTTACCTCCATCAGCAGTGGGACAAAAAGGTACAGTTTGGGGGGTTTGAACTTTGGTGTTTGGGTTTGATTTGGGCTCAAAAAAGTAGTGAAAAATCAAGTGTGAACTCTGAGCAAGGAGAACCTGAGGAGGCTCCAACTCCCCGAGAAAAAAACGTCTTTGTGCTTCATGCAAAGGGCAAAAAAAACCTGAGCTCACTCAAGGTTTAACCTAGAATTTGGGAATCCACATTCCATCCTGGTTTTCCCTTTTGTTCCCATGGAAAATTGGTGGCAAATTCCACCTCAGCTGCTCCAGGGGCTGGAGACAGAGGAGTCTGTGCATGGATGCAGCTTCAGAAGGATTTTTGGGTGTCACATGGGAATTTTCAGGAGGGACACGCTAAGGAATGTTGCTCCAGGTGGAGTTTGAGCCTGGGAATTTTGGTATACTTAGGGTGGGAGTGTATGGCAGGGGCTGAGTCTGAAAATTGGGATCCTTGAGGGGTGGGAGCACTTGGAGAAGGTGATGAGTTGGGAGTGGAGATGCCAAAGTGTCACCAACAGAGCAAAGGATGAGGAAAAACATGGAGAGAGGGCAGATTCTTGGAGCTGAAAGGGAAATATTTATATGTGCCAAGGATTTGAGAGGTTTGCTGAGGTCAAAGATTTCATCCCACCCTCAATCCAAACCAATCCCTAAGGAGCAACTTTGGCTTTGGGCAAACTCCTCAGTGCTGTCCCACTTGGGTCAGTACAGCCAAACCCTGTTCCCAATCCTCTGCCAACAATTCCCAGCTGGCTCTGAGGGTTGGGAGTGGTGTGGAGATCTCACTGGGCCTTTGTGTGTCCCTCAGAACGCAGCAAAGAAGAGAGACCAAGAGCAGGTGGAGATAGAAGGTGAGAACTCGGCGCCTCCTCGGAAAATCGCTCGGACAGACAGCCAGGACATGAACGAGGACACTTAAACCCTTGGATTTCTCCTCTGCTCCTTGGCAGGCGCTTCCTCTTCTGTCTCCAAGTGTGTAAATTTGCCCCTTGCTCCCTCTCAGTTCCCACACTGCACAGCCCAAACCACTTCTTGACTTCCCAAGAGCCAGTCTATTTATTTTGGGGTTTTTTTCCTCTCCAGTTGGTTGGTTTTTTTGTTATTTTTTTTTTTATTTATGCCCTAAAATTTATGGAGCAGGGGTGGAACCAGGTAGGAAACATCACCTTAATTCCTCCTTTCCAAAAAAAATAAAAAACCACACCCAGGATCTGTTCCCTGCCAATCCCTCAGGTGTAGCTGTCACACCTGGGCAGGAGCCTGAGGTTGTTCCTTCACTTCCCTATTGACATATTCCAAGGGATTCACTCTTTGGATAGCCCTAATCCAGCCATAAGTGTGGGGCCTCACAGTTTTTGCCTGAAATATTCCAAACCTGGCACTGCACTCCAATCATGGATGGCACTGAGGGTTGTGTTGGGCAGAGCAAATCCGTTGGCAGCTCCATCTCCGTCGTGTTTTTGGGATCTGGGCCATGAGGGCCATGGATACGCTTCCACATATCCATGCAGGATTGAAGGGAGAGGTTTGTTGCTCCTAAATTTTCTCTTCCTCCTGGGCTGGAATGACCTGATCCAGGCGATTTCTCCGTTGGAATCAAAGGATTCTCCTCTCCCACTCCCAAAAGTTTGTTCCACCACCTGGTGGAGCAGCAGCTGATGGGATGGAGGTGGGTTGGGAACACTTGGAGCAGTCTGGGAACACCTCAGCACCTCTGCCTCAACTCTTGGCTCTGGAAAATGCTACTTCGGCTTTTCCTGCGTGTCCAGGATGGAATTCAGGACTTGGAGTGGAGCAAAACCTGAACTTCCATGGGCTGTGAGGACAACCAATCCCTTTGGGCTGGGACAGTTCAGTGCCTGTTGCCTGGAACCCTTGACTGACTCCAATGGGAACCACAGCAGAGATCCAAGTGGATCCAGAGGTTCAAGACTCATGGAAAAGAGTATTGGGACAGGAAAGGAGTAGCTTAGTCGTGCTGTCTGCTTTGCCCTGAGGAGCTGATTCCCACTGTGGTAGCTGAAATTGTGGCATTTAGAGCTGTGTTTTAACCTCCTCAACAAATCCTGAACATCAAGATATCCCAGGAGTGTTTTCCTAGAGATCCTGGAGGAGCCCCATTCCAAGGGGCCGTGGTGGGCACGAGCTTTGAGGGTTTCTGCTCTGCCTTTCCCCCTGTCCAGTTTTAGGGGTGAAGAGGCACAAACTGTCCCTAAGAGTGTTGGAAGCAGAACCTTAGGAAGAGCAGGACACAGCTCCTGTTGGAATTTCAGATGTTCCCTTTAGGCACTGAGTTTGTGAGTGAATTAACACCAAGTAGCTTAGAACTTTGTATCTGCCTCAAAAAAAAAACCAACAAAACCACAACAAACCCACCACATTTTCCTTTCTGCTGTGGCAGCAACCTCCAAAGTCCTGGAATGACGTTGACCATGCCAACTGTGTTGGTGAAGATAAATTCCTTGGATTCCTGAGGGATTTGATGGCATTGGGAAGAAGATTCTCCTCCTTGAGCTCTGCTTAAAACACCCAAACCTCTATATCCACCTCCAGCCTTGTGTGCACCTCTGGCCTTGTGTCCACCTCTAGCCTTGTGTCCACTTCCAGCCTCGCTGGGATGATCCAAAGCTGAGTGAGGAATCCTTTGAGGAATATCCAGGTGCCAGGAGAGGAAGGGAAGAGGCAGCTGGTGGTGAGGAGCAGAGCTGGAGACTTTGCTGTATCCCTGCACAGGGTTTGGGCTTTGTACCATTAAAAAGTTGGCAGTTCCTTCCTGCTGGAATCCCCTGGTTTTGTTCCCTGGTTTTGTCCTTCAAAGCTGAGCTGGGAGCCTTGGGAATGCTGCAGGAGTTTTTTTTCAGGAGGTGTAAGTTGCCTTTTCCAAGTGGTTTGGGAGTGATGGAGAAGTGAAGTTGTGAAGGATTTAAGGGTTAAGTTGGTTTGGGGTTTTCTTGGTGTTGGGGAATGAGCAGGAGAGGGATGGGATCCCTGCAGGATGTGCTTATCCCAGCCCTGGATTCCAGGGATTTGGGATCCCTGCAGGATGTGCTTATCCCAGCCCTGGATTCCAGGGATTTGGGATCCCTGCAGGATGTGCTTATCCCATCCCATCCATCCAGGGATTTGGGATCCCTGCAGGTTGTGCTCATCCCAGCCATGGATTTGGGATCACCACAATGAGCCTGTCCTTATCCCATCCATGGATTCAGTTTGTGATTCCTGAAGTGAATCTCTCATCCCATCCATGGATTTATGATCCCTACAGTGAGTCTGTCCTTATCTCATCCATGGATTTGTGGTTCTCATCCCATCCATGGATTTATGATCCCTACAGTGAGTCTGTCCTTATCTCATCCATGGATTTGGGATCCCTACAGTGAGTCTGTCTCATCCCATCCATGGATTTGGGATCCCTTCAGTGAGTCTGTCCTCATCCCATCCATGGATTTGGGATCCCTACAGTGTCTGTCCTTACCCCTGGATTTGTGATCCCCACAGTGAATCTCATCCCATCCTGTCTCCTCCCTTCCACTTCCTCCTCCAAGTCATTCCAGGCTTTTCCTGGCTCCAGAGCTCTGTCCTCCACCCAGAGCTCTTTGCTCCTCTCTCCATGTGGGAAGTGGCTTGGAATGTTGCAGGGAAGATCTTTGCCTAACTGTGACTTCCTGGTGCCTTAGTGCATTGAACCAACACCACCAAACCTTTCACCCCAACCTGGGATTTTACCCACCTTATTTGTACAATTCCCAACTCCTCCTGTGCATTCCCAGGATCTCCTGACCCTCCAGGGCTTTTCTATGCTGCCCAATGGGATTTGTATTATTCCTGTTTCCAATGTTTACTAAAAGTTTGGCTTTTTTTTTTTTTTTTAAAACAATACCTGGAGCGACTCGTCCGCGATTTGGGAATTTTGGGGCACTTTGGGTTGCATTCTGTGTCTTTCCTCAAAGCTCAGCACAGCACAAACGTGTTCATTGCTATGAAAGGACAATAAATCCATCTGGGAACAGCTCCTTTCCTGACTGTGAGTGATGAGATGTATTTGGGGAACATTTAGAAAGTGAAGAAGTTGGGAAAGTCCTTTTCCTGCCCCTAAAATCCCAAGTGACAAACACACAGGTAAGAGGAGGTTTGGTTAGGTGAAGTCTTGGTTTGATTCTTGATTTAATTCTTCTTGTCGCTGTTGGATTTTAGGGCAGAAAGAGCCACAATGGAAAAGTTAGGGATTGGGAATGGTGAAGGGCAGGATGGATTCCAAGGGAATCCATGAGCAGAGACTTTGGAGTTGTCTCTTGGGTTGGTTTTTTCCCTCAGGTATCTCCTCTTGGAACACAGATCTTGAATTTTATGGAGATCTGGGGTGAGCTGAGAGGTCAAGAGCTCTTTCTTGCCCTGGGATTGAGCAGAAGGAGCTGATTCCATGTTTACCCATGGATCTGGGATGACTAACCCCTATGGAATGGGGATGGATGGGCCAAGCTGACTCACTCCTGGGCTGTGTTTGTGCCCATTCAGAGGTAATTAACAACCTTGATTGGGTTTTAGTTCATCCTTGGCCATTCCCAAATCCAGGCTGTGTCGTCTGGAAGCCAGTCCCAACTTCATCATTCCCAACTCCTGCCTTTTTTTTCCCATAGCACCACCAACTTTTGGAGTCTTTTCCTTCCACCCTCTCTTTGCAACTTCAATTTTCCTCCATTTTTTAGCCAAAATCTTCACTTGTGGAGCTGGAAAAGTTGGGTTTTCCCAAAAAAAACACCCCACAACCCTAAGGAACTGCCCTGGGAATGACTGTAAATATCCCTTGGCCATTGGAATTTTCTTCTGGCACTTCTTTTGAAACTCTTCCATGTTTGATACTGTGGATAATAAATTTGCAGAATTTAGAGGATTAGAACTTGCTTTATTCTTCCTCTTCTTGCTCTGGAGTTTGTCCTGGTGCCCCTGAGATCCTTATCCACCTTTTCCAGGGATGGGAGAGCTGATCCTTATTCCCTGAGCACTGTAATTAGGTGTACCTCAGTAATTAGGGTAATGATATTGGAATAAATCCTCCCTTTAGGCTTCTTGAAATAGATTTTTTATTGCATTTCTGCAGGTTTTACAAAAATATGACAAAATAAATTAAAAAGAAATAAATTAACCCCCTGCAATTCTCTGAATTCCTTCAGAAATCCAACCCAAAGGGAATAAAGGAACAACCAACCAACCATCCCACGTTTTTTCCCTTCCTCAGCACAGTCACTGGCCCAGGAGCACAGACAGGGAGAGACTGGGAGGGAGGGAGGAGAGAGAAACACTTGAAAATGCCCCAAATTGGGGGTTCTTACCCTCTCCCTCTGGCTTGGATGGATCTGGGGTTGGGAAATGGGATCAGAGCAATTCCCTTCAAGCCCAGGGTGTGATTTTGGGAGCAGCAGAGCAGGGAAAATCGATGGAATGGGGAGAAGGAGAGCTCCTTGCACCTCTCCCTGCAGCCAGAGTGAGCTTTGGGCCCCAAGAGCTCCTGACTGTGCCCTCAGGGTGCCAGGAAAGGGGTTTGGGGTACCTGGTGCCCCCAGACCCCAGGGATGCTCTCCTGCCATCCCACACTGCTGCTCTGGCACTGCTTTCCCAGCATTGTGTGCCCCAGTTTCCCAGTGCTCCCTTTTCCCTGGCTTTGCTCCAGAAATCTCTCCTACATCACTGTGCCCTCCAGGGGAGCAGGAGGAGGAGGGACCAGAGCCCTTCAGTGCCACTCTGTCCCCACACTTTGGAGCTGTCCCCAGTTGCCACAGGAGGGTCTTGTTCCACCCCAGTGTGAGGGGACACAATTCCCTTTTCCCTGGAGGGCTTCTCCCTGCCCCATCCCATCGGCAGCAGAGCAGCAGGTGAAGCCTTAACCTTCTCCTGCCCTTATTGCTGGATAAAATGGCTTAA